AAACACCACAAAACTTCTTTCTCATGCTTCCCCCACCCTGCCCAAGCCAAAAGTAATCTCACAGGGACGACATACCTTTAAACTAGGTGAAATCCACAGCACTGCGTTTCACTTGGTTCCTGTGTTATGTTTGATCTCCTTAGCAGCCAACCTGCTCCATTCAAATGCACCAGCCAAAAAGATTGCTTGGCAAGGCGGAGTGTGAATGTGTATGTGTGTGTGTGATGATGTGTGTCTTGGTGGTGGGGGGGGGGAAGACTGACACCCAGCCTCAGTTTTCTTTTTCTCTGTCTCTGCTGTGTGATCTCCTAAGTCAAATCTTCCAAGGCCAACAGCACAAAAGCATCTCAATGAATAGGGCCGGATGCAGCTTAAAACACTCAAGCCATTCTCTGCAATGAATAGAGCCCTTTGATGAGGGACGAAGCCAATGCCAGTTTCAAACTGAAGCTTGGGAGGATTAAAAAAAGAAAGAAAGAAAGAAGAAGAGGGGGAAAGGAAGAGGAAAAGGGAGAGGGGAAAGAGAAAGGGAGAGAAAAGATGAGTGCCAGAGATGTTGGTACAAGACAGACTTCTGATGAGTCACTGCAATGCAAACAAAGATGGCAGAAATACTGTACTCTTTGCTGATGAAATGCTTAGTGGTGCCACAGCCACAGGGAAAGGGGGGGATTTTGAATTTATGGCGCAGCTTTGCATATGAATTGCTGCTGCAAACCGCCCTCCCTCTGCCATCTAGGACATGCAGAGTGTCAAAGCATTTAAAGTATTCCAAACAGTCTGCAGAGCTGGCGCAGCTCTTGCCAGAGTTAACTCCTCCCTGGGTGGAAAGGGCTGCCAGGCAGGGAAAACAAGCCCAGCTAAAGAGGAAGGGGGGACAGAGAGAATTGACACATACACACACACATTTGCCATGCACACACCACTTCTTTCTTCCTCAACAGTGACCAACATTTTGATTTTCCTCTGAGTACAACCAGAGAGGGGTACAAACACACACCCTGACCCTCAAAACATGCAATTGTCCAACATGGAATCTTATACCCTCCAATAGGGTATCTGGCAGACAAGGTCCCAATTAATCCTCTGCTGTCTCACTTTTTCAGCTGCTTTGAAAAGGTCCCGGTTTCTCTTATCCTCCCACTTTTTCACCATCTCCTCAGCTTGCTGCAAACTGAGCTCAAAATGCAAAAGTACAGGGGGCTCTCCACATTTGCTAAGGTTAGGGACACAGGGCCCCCATGAAAGTGGGAAAATGCAAATAAAAAAAACCCACTTAAAAAAAAAACACCTGAGAAAACACATCTCTTGGAACCTCTCCTCCAGCACAACTCTATGGTCAACATCTGCCAGAAGTTGACCATAGAATTGTGCTGGAGGACCTACAAATGCCTAGAGAAGTGTTCTCTCTAGGAAACTCTAGGTCCTCCAGCACAACCTCCAGTGAAGGTTGGCCACAGAGTCGTGTTGGAGGACCTCGAGATTCCTAGAGAAAATATATTATTCAAATCCATGAATAATCAAAGGTGCAAAAGTAAAAGCCAGAAATGTAAAGGGCTGGTTTTGTTTGCACTCCATTAATACACCAGGAGAAGAGAAGACAAGGGGGGAATGAGTGTTACCCTTCCTATTAGACCCAGGCAAAAACAATGTAAGAGCCAGGGTGGTGTAATGGTTCAGCTTTGGACTACGATTCTGGAGATTAGGGTTCGAGTCTCTGCTTGGCCACGGAAACCCACTAGGGCAAGTCACACAAGTCGGAAACATTTTGAAGGCGCACAACAACAACAAACTTCTGCATTCTCTCCTGGCTTATGTGTTCTTCCCCACAAATAACTGTTTGCCATCTTGACCACATCCTGATGATCCTTGGTTATACATGTCCGAGTTTTCATCTGTGAAATGTTGGAGGGAGGGAGGAAACCTGATCTCCCTGGGAAGAGCATTCCATAATACAGGAACAGTCTCTGAGAAAGTCCTCTCCTGTGTCCCTACCAAATATACCCATGAAGTTGGTAGGACTGAGGCTGCTGCCACACTGCAGAATTAATGCAGCATGACACGGCTTTATCTGTCATGACTCCATCCTCTGGAATCCTGGGATTTGTCATTTTGTTTTGACACAAAAGGCTAAAGAGCTCATAAATCCCCAAATCCCATAGCACTGAATCATGGCAGTTAAAGTGTTGGCAAACTGCGTTAATTCTGCAGTGCAGATGCAGCCTCTAATGTAGATATATACACCCGAGTAAGCTCTTATGGGGAGACAGAGCCTGTCTGATAACCATATAGCCATACCTTATTTAACAAAGCCTCTAACAAAGAAGCTCCTTTTTATAAAGTCTTTTAAAAGTCTGCCCAGCCTTGTTTTGCATCCTCATAGTCCGTCTAGGTGGATTTTTTAAGCCGCATCAGTACTGGGAGGATGGTGCAGAAAGGCTGGAGAAGCAGAGACTTTGGGTTAACAGGCTGGAACAACATGTCTACAGCAAACAATGCAATAAAGATGGAGCTGGGAAAGAATGGGATTCTACTCTAACTGATCCTACCGTAGCTGTGTGTTCCTGTCTAGAACAAGCAAGGGAAACAGCAGCTGCCTCCAGAATTTCTCTCTGACCATGCATAAGCAGCAAAAGCTTAAAAAGCATTGTTGTGTGCAGAGGTTTTTGTGGGGGTTTGGGGCTGTGAGGCCGTGTTCTAGAAGAATGTACTCCTGATGTTTCACCTGCATCTGTGGCTG